ACTTGCTTAAAAATCTGTTTTCTAAGGGCGGGTAATGAGTTTGTATATTATCAACATATTACTCAACACATTTCTCATGTCTAACGTTTCATCAAGACTGATGAAATTTTTAATTTTCAACAAGAAGGGACAAGGAACAACGTTTCGGTCCATGTAGGGCTTTGTACAGAGCGAATGTTGTCTCAAAAACATGCTCTGCCGTTTGCGCTATCTTTTTATAGAAGACAGCTGATATTGTCAGTAACATTCATGAACGCAATGTATTCGTACTACTTGTATTCACGATGAGTCACAAATGGTGATGTCTCAGGTTCGTCACTCACCACTACCTCATGCTGTCATGGTATGATAGGAAGCGACATTAATTGTGATCGAAATAGTCGTCCTTAATAATTAGTTCTCGACACCTCGGTAAATATTACGCAGAACGTAGGTTGGTAGACGCCAACCATCCAGGGATGTACTATCGTCCGGTCATGAGTGTGAAATTAATGCTTATTATTATTATTATAATCAAAAAGAAGCGCTAAGCCACAAGGGCTATACAGATTAATGCTTTTAAACGTTATGAACGTTGGCAGGATTGCTAGGCTTCTCTTTCCGTCTCGTGAGCTAGAGTTTACTAACTTCTACGTACATTCAGCATTCTATTCGCTTTCCTGTTTGTTTCTTAATAATTGTTGTACTGTGCAATAAGGGGAGAGTTATTTCTTTATTTATATTGTTACTGGAAGAGAGAAATAAATTTGTCCTGGATTGAAAATATATGCCTCGTTTTACATTATTATGTATAAGCCCAGTTACTGTACAATATGTATTCACAAGCAGATGTTTCTAAAATCAGTCTCGTATGCCTGTCTGCTTGCACTTTCTAAAGGCACGATGTACCTTGGTACCTTACACACTACTGTATTGTCGTGTGTATTTGTAAGTGGGTTGGTGTAACTGAATGCTTGCGCAAATCTCTAGTCTCGTTGCGCCATCTGTGGATAGCTGATATATTTTACAAATTGCAGTGCGGACAATGCCTGAGTACCCACACTGGAATGGCTGAATGTATTAGTGACCCTAGAACCCAAAGTTTAACTGGTTGAATCAGTTAGCTACGCCGAAACACTCGGACTAGGCTCATCAGGTTCATTGCCTATGTTGAAAAACCCGAACTCTACACTGGTCGGATCCACTAGAGATGTCAGAGCACCCGATTTCCGCTTAGCGGATGCCCTAAGATGCCGAAACACATGGACTCAGCTGGCAGGGTCCGCGACCTATGCAAGGTGAGATACGCCGAATGATAATGAGAAGATAAGAGACAATTCCATTATCTCATAAAAGTAATTGGGTAGCGCTATGCTCGCCACCAGGCCGCCTCGTGGTTAAGAAACATTCAGAAACTCAACTGGTTTATCGCCATCAATTTTATTTTGCAAGATAATTTTTTTCGTGTTCAGTTAAAAAAAAAATTTTTTTAACTGGAAAGCAAAGACTTATTTCTTGAATGGAGTGCAGTGTTGATAGTGAAGGGCTCTTGATTTGAGGAACTAGAGCTGCCCTTCCCATCCTCAGATCTAACTTGATTGCTCCTCTCCATCACTGTATGAAGCTATCTTCCATTCCCCCTCCTCCCACAGGCGCTGAATAATCCTACGGGTTTAGCGCTTCCCCATGATTATAATAATAACAACACGGATTTAGCGCCTCCCATAAGTGTAATAATAATCAGTGACTTTTAGCAGTAAAGACTGTTGAATGATAGCTGTGTCCAGGCTCCTCCTCCATAGACTATGTTGGGCACGTGATAGTGGCTTCTTGCAATTCCTCATGAATATGTATTTAGAGAGTAAAGGCAACTGGTAGTCGTGAGAGAGTCAATATTCTTTGCAAATAAACCGAGACATAGTAATCTATTTTTCTGTGAAAAGTCGAAGTTCAACAAGTTTTCCCAGAGGAGCACATCGGCAAAAATTATTAATATCCGCGAAGAATGACGGAAAGCAGGGCTCAGGGAGATTTACTGCTAAGTTACCACATTCGTTATCACTGTAGAGCTCACAGAGTGTGTAAGAAATGTATAAGTAGTTAAGGAAGAATATATAACATGGAAATACAATGAAAATGTGGGACAGTCAGATGAGAGGGAGCTATGACGTCCTTAGGAGGTGCGAGGCGAGGGATAATGGAGTTCCTCAGGAAATGTGAACACCTAACATTATATGCAAATTGCTCATTATTCCTTGTTATCTCTCCCCAGACAGTGCAAAAATAAACAAAGCAAACAGTTCATTTCATAGTCTGAGAGTTGACTAACACCTGCATATTGATAGATAAACAAGGGTCAATAAATCTTGCCCAGCTGTGAAATCGAACCCGGGTCACTTTTGGTTGCCCACTGGACGAGTCAAAACATTGGCAATACTATCCGAAAACCTCACATGTTACACTTAACAAGACATTTATCGACAACTGGTACAAAGACAATGATGTAAAATCATGATGATACAATGTAAAACCCGAGAGTGGGTTTTACCATGTGACGATAAAACCCACTCATGGACGAAAGGCTGTACCATTATAACCATCTGATATCTTGACACTGTCACTACATAAGTATAAATCCAGCACAAACTTCAAACTTTTCTTCCAGATGGAAGCACCTTCCAGAGAATACATTAATGGACGTCCCTCTCATAACGTAAGTTCTTAGGAGGTAATACCTTTCTACCTCTCTCTCTCTCTCTCTCTCTCTCTCTCTCTCTCTCTCTCTCGTAAAGTGCCTCGCATAACAAAGCATCATTGGGCAATTCGTAGTGAGACAGAAGCTTCTGCCTATAACTCTTTATACCGTTATGTGTTGATGGTTCCAATAGGCTGTTTGCCAAGAATGAAATTCTACACTTTTTCCAGCACCACGGTGGAATAACTTGGATAAAACTTTTGCTTTGTTTATATTGTAACCAAAGCAAATCTTATTCTAAATTTACCTAATCCCTTTATCCTAAACATAAATTTAATTTAATCAAGGGAAGCCAAACCCGGAGGATTATACAGCCTGGGGAGGAGTGAAGCATTTAGGCTTTCGGGAATGGAACACAGAACCAATTCCTAAATCAAGAGCCCCTCACCAACCTCAAGGAACCTTCCTTGAGGGGTCCTTACATAAAGCAATGTAAAAAATAAAAAAAAAAAAAATTAATTACTTTTATTTTAAAATATAATGCTTGTTGAGGATAATTTGGATTCTTTCATGTTTTAAGGTGATGAAGACGTGATTTATTTATTTTTTAAGTAGGAAGGACACGTTATGTTATGTTTATATGGTAAACCAGTGAGAGGCTTACTAAGTGCCAGATCAACCAGGCTGTCACTGCTACGTGAGGCAGCAGGCCGCTAACATAAAGAGCCTGACTGAGCAGACACTCAAAGGCCGGCCTGTGAGAGTATAAAATTCCCCTAAACTTGTCACAGGTGTGTGTCACATGGGGTTACCCTTCCACTTAATTGCTTGGCTCAGCGATATTAAAGGAAAGACTGTAACACACATTACTCACATAGCCCCCAAGACAAGAATCTTTATTTTGACTCACGAAATCGTAATGACACGATTGCAAACAAACCATACCCCGGCCGGGATTGAACCCGCGGTCAGAGAGTCTCAAAACGGTCGGTCTGGAGTTTTGAGACTCTCTGACCGCGGGTTCAATCCCGGCCGGGGTATGGTTTATCTTTATTTTGCTATGTAGGATGAACCGGCGAACCAATGGAAGCCTCCTCCGGTCAGATGCCAAAAAGTTCCACTCAGAGGATCATCATATAACTGACACCCACATCAGCAGAAGTTTAATTTAATACGAAAACAAAATGCATACAATATTTGATGTTATCTCTTAGCTAATCATACCTGTATGATAAGTGTTCGTACAAGCAAGACATTATATTTTCATGTATTTTTCAGTGAGAGTTATGTAAGTTTTATCAGAAAGCAGGACAAGTATTTCCTGACGCGGATTTTAGTCATTTGATGACCCACCGCTGGAGCTTTTGGTCATCTGACGAGGCCGTCTGCTGGCTTACTAGTTCACCTCTTTAAAAATTATGGTTATGATTATAACCATTTCATTAATGTATTAAATTTCACATATATTTCTGACCTGAGTTAAATTTATTCAAACTTCTGATAATGTATAATTGTTAAATCTAATTTCTCGGATTATCCACTCAGTTGTAGCCCAAAGTTTTTTTTTTAATTCGCTTTTTTGATAAATGCGGTTCACTGTATGAATGGTAATTACGATGTGGAGATGCACCATGCAAAGTGTTTGCTATATTAGCGAGCAGCAGTATGAGCAAACTATGCTAGTTAGTATATCAACGAGCAGGACAGAGTGTGGGTATACCATGTGAGGCGTCCACCGTATAAACAGGCAGTGTAATTTGTGGGAACACATTGTGAGATGTATAGTGGGTAACTATTGAATTAGGAAGTAAAGGAAAGGAGGCAGGAAGAGGTCTCGGTTTTAGTGTGTAGGTCACCGAGAGGAAGCATTGGGCGTGGCATGGGTATGTTGCTTGGACACAATGTTATTATGGAAGTCAAGCAGTGGAAAATTTCCTAATGAATCGCTGGGATTTCAGGCAGACCAGCATGGGTAAGAGTTCCAATCAGTGATACATTGATTAGGGCTCCATGCAGGGCAATGTTTATTCCTTCCAGTAGGTTCTACATGGGGCAAGGTTCCATATTGTGCAATATGGGTAAGAACTCCAAGCGGTGCTTTACTGGTTAGGATTTCATATGACGGATAAATTCTGAAGCTACTGTTATAAATATTGTTGTTTTCCTATGAGAGGGGAAAGGGACATTTTTCTGATACTGACCTATAAAGAAAGTCTTATATTTCGGCCTCAATTTTTATATCCCGAGCTAACGGTGATGAGGCTCGTATAGTACTACCCTCAAGTAACGCAGTTTAAGCCCATTTGTACTCTTATCTGCGTCTTACCTTCAAGTGCCACATATTGGGGACGTTAGCGATGCTCCGCGGGTTCATATACAGGCTGCAATTATATCACATGGATGTAGTTTGCCTGTGTAGGGGTTAAACTCCGTGAAGCTTGCAGGCCGGTGGATGAGAGTGGCACTAGGCAGGTCAGCCTTGCTAGCTCCACCTCGCGACTGTCGTACCTCCACCACACCACCGGCTCTCCGATTTTACTGGTCGCGTCTAGTAATACGAATGGAAGCGATAAGGACGTCCAGCTCCTCGTCCAGTGTGGTCTTCTTATTTAGATTCCTACCTGAATATCGCCCTTGTGGTTAATATGCGTTTCACCTGTGGCTTAGAGCTGTTAAGACGTGTTTTCCATATTATAACGCATTCATCGTTTACAACAGACTTGGTAGTAATAGCACTGTATGCTGCGGCATTGCCTGGCGGCCAATGAGATCCCAGTATGCTAGAACAAGCTTTATTATGATTGGTCACGAGTGATCTAATGATAGTTTTCTTATCACTCTTACCGGTGAGATAGCACAAGTTTTATAGATGATAACAGGTTCATTTGCACCAGTTATTTTCTGGGCTCTCCAGCACCTACAAACTTCCTCACCATTCATCACAGAAATTCAGAAAAAGACGAAATCTGCACAAAAATCTCAATATTCATATACTGTATATTTACATATATATACCTATCGATCACTCTGCCTATCACTTTCTCTGCCTCTTCGTCTCCTAATCTGCCTATCGACATACATTATAACACCTCACACTATCCAGCTGAGTCGCGTATTCATCCCCCATGCATTCACCACTTGCGCAACACCATACACTCTTCTACATATTAACACATCTCGTTTATAACCTCTCTCTCTCTCTCTCTCTCTCTCTCTCTCTCTCTCTCTCTCTCTCTCTAGCTACTTTCTTTTCTTTCACGGGGTTTCTCAAGTATACTCTTATTATCCACCCCTATTATTACGAACACAGGTAAAGAATGACCTGTGAGACCTGGCGTAATGGGAAATTAGAGCAAACAAAACTCAGCAGTAGACCATAATATACATTTTGCCTTCACCCACTATATACGGTATGTACACTATGTACAATAGTATGTACAGATAAAATAATAAGTGTACAGGGTGACAGACGGCAAAGCAGAAGCCAGAGAGACTGCGCTGTACTCAAGTCTGCCAATGCTGAACTCTTAGCACCCGGTTCGCTGGTTGGGAGGCAGCCTATATGGGAGTGTGGCACATGCCGAATAAATTGTAACATGCTCTTTCCATGCCACAACTCCTCTCCTCATCCTATTCATTTCTCTCTCCCTTCTTTCGTTTCCTTTTATTCACTGATTCTTAATTTGCCTATTAATTTTATTGTTAGACTAGTTTTGAAATGTGTGTATTGAGCATACTCTTTATACATTTCAAGAGAATTGGCATCGTATCTTTCCTATCGCTCTGTTCCGCTTCTTACACTGTTTCTTTCTTCAGGGCATTCATTGTAATGTACATATAATATGCTGTGGAAGTCCTTATATATAAAACTTGTAGATTTGAGCTGCATCACCAGTTACTATGTTCTTTTGTCATATTTGTCTTGAGTTGCATCGTTCGTCAGACTTCATGTCCATTTTTGACGATATTGTACAAAGTTATCGTTTTTCATGATTACATGTGGACAAAAACCAGAGTCAAGATGGCAAATACTTATAAAATAGACGATACTTACGAAGGAAAAAAAAAAAGAGAATAGTCCCATTAAACAAAAGACGCCATGGAACAATATACAACATGCATGGGTAAAAGAGAGCATAATATGCAACTTGCATGGGTAAAAGAGGGCATAAATATGCAACTTGCATGGGTAAAAGAGGGCATCAATATGCAACTTGCATGGGTAAAAGAGGGCATTAATATGCAACCTGCATGGGTAAAAGAGGGCATAAATATGCAACTTGCATGGGTAAAAGAGGGCATAAATGTGCAGCTTGTATGGGTAAAAGAGGGCATTAATATGCAACTTGCATGGGTAAAAGAGGGCATCAATATGCAACTTGCATGGGTAAAAGAGGGCATCAATATGCAACTTGCAGGGGTAAAAGAGGGCATCAATAATGACAGAGTGTGGGGAGGGGGGATAAAATTTCACGCGGAACACATTAGACAGTTCATTAAGGAAACATTTCGCCCTTTTGGAGCTTTGTCAATAGGATGAAATTTTGTGTACACTTCGAAAACGAGTTTATCCATCCAGTGTTTCAGGGACTTGTATTCCTGTGCCAAGATAAGGTAACTCAAAAAGTCTACGGAAAACTGACAAATACAGACGACCTTCTACGCTTCTCCTATGACGCACGTACTACCAGGAAGGGGTCGTCCCCAGTGTGTGTGTGTGTGTGTGTGTACTAACCTAATTGTACTCACCTAATTGTAGTTGCAGGGGTCGAGACTTAGCTCCTGGAACCGCCTCTTCACTGAACGCTACTTGGTCCTCTCTCTCCCTGCTCCATGAGCTTTATCATACCTCGTCTTACAGTTATGTATGGTTCCTGCCTCCACTACATCGCTCGCCAAACTGTTCCACTTCCTGACCACTCTATGGCTGAAGAAATGCTTCCTAAAATCCATGTGACTCATCTGAGTCTTCAGCTTCGAAGAGTGACCCCTTGTTTCTGTGTCCTCTCTCTGGAACATCTTGTGTGGGGGTTATGTGGGGTTGTGTGTGTTTGTGTGTTGTGGTGGGTGTGTGTGTGTTGTGTTGTGTGTGTGTGTGCGGTGTGGTGTGTGTGTGTGGTGTATTTACTAGTTGTAAAAGTCCATTGTCAAAGGACACTTGGCCTGTTTCGCGCGCGCGCGCGCGTTTGTGTGTACCACCAACTTGGTTGCAGGGTCGGTCTCAGTTCCGGGCCCCCGCCTCTTCACGATGGCTACTAGGTCCTCTCTCTCTTTCTTGCTTCCGAGCTTTGTCATACCTTCTTAAAGTAGTATATTCCTGCCACCACCTTTACTTACGGGCTTTTTCATTTCTGACGACTCTGGACTGAAAGTATTTCCCTAAAATCCCTGTGCTCGGGGTGTGTGTGTGTGTGGTGTGGGGGTGTATGTGTGTGTACCCCCTAATTTTACCCCCTTTTTGGGTTCGGGGGTCGAGACTCAGCTCCTGGCCCCCCTCTTCAGACGCTAGGGGCCCTTTCTCTCTCTCTGCTCCTGACTTTGTCATACCTCTTTTTAAAAAATATGTTTGGTTCCGCCCCCACTACTTCACTTGCTAGGCTATTCACTTGGCACTCTAGACTAAAGAAATACTTCCTAACGTCCTGTACTCGTCTGAGTCATCGTTTTCCAGTTGTGCCCCCTTGCCCCTGTGCCCCTCTGGAACTTTTATCTCTGCCCCCCTTGTCTATTCCCCGAGATCTTGTATGTCTTATCATTTTCCCCGACCCTTCTGCCCCCGGGGTCGTCAGTCCGATTTCCTTAAACCCTTCCTCGTCGACTTTCCCCTTGAGTTTGGGACTAGCCTTTTTGAAAACCTTTGTACTTTCTCTAATTTCTTGAGTGCTTGACCAGGTGTGGGTTCCAGATTGGTGCTGCATACTCCTATGGGCCTAACATACCAGTGTACAGTGTCTTAACGATTCCTCTTAAAAGGTAGGGAACGCTATTCTCAGTTTCCCAGGCGCCGTATGCTGCAGCAGTTTTTTGGGTTTGATGGTCCCTCCGGTGATGTCCCGGTTTTAGGTCCCCCCAAGTCTTTCCCCCTGAGTGAGGTCGTAGTCTTTGTCCACCTAGCCAAACTCTGTCTGCGGTCTTCTTGCCCCTCCCCAATTTCAGATTTTGTTTTTGGGCTGGTTTGAATTCGAAAGCCAGTTACTGGCCCAGGCCCAGCCTGTCCAGGCCTCTTTGCGCCCCCTCATCCTGTCCGTTTATTTCTTCAACAACTTCACGTCATCTGCGAACGGGACATTCAGAGTCTACCCTTTCCCACATTCTTTCCCAAAATATAAAAAAGCATGGTCCTAGAATGCCCCCTGTGGGCCCCTCGAAACGGCGCCCACTGTGTACCTCTTCATTTACCATGCCCCGTTGCGCCTCCCGTCGGGTTTCCCTTACCCATTGCAGTGCCCTCCCTTTTCATGCGCCTGATCCCCCAGTTCTGCAAAATTCTTGGGGGGAACTGCTAAAAGGCCCTTCCTGCAGCTGGAAAACCCCAATCTACCCACCCTTTTCCTCGGTTTTTACTTCTTTTCCTTGTCATAAAAACTCCAGGGGTTTGTGATACAATTTGCCTTCCCAGCCCATGCGGGTTTTTTTTTATAATTTGTTCCGTTCCGGGGTTTTCGACCACTCTCCTCCTGATAATCTTCTCCATGTTGCCCCAAAATACATGTCAGAGACACGGTCTGTGTTTTGTGCCTGTTTTTTGTTCCCCTTTTTTAAAAATGGGGGAAAATTAGCTGTCTTCCGTTTCCAGGTAGTTGCCCAGTTTCAAAGGGGTGTGTTAAGATTGTGGTTAAGGCCGCACAGCACCGCCCCTTTTTAAGATCCATGGGGGATGTTGTCCCGGGCCATCGCCTTTGAGGTGTCGGTACTTAAGAGCTTCTTCACCTCCTCCCCAGTTTTTCGTATGTCATCCCAAACTTTTGGGATTTTTCCCCTTTTAGTTCCCTTCTGTGCCTTCCCCCAGCCCTCCGTTCCCCACTGTAAAAACTTCCCTTTAAATCTCTGTTAGCTCCTCACATACCTCCTGATCATTTCTTGTGGTTCCCACCTTCTGTCCTTAATTGATCACCTGGTCTTTTACGTTTTTTCCTCCTGTGTGGCTATACAACATTTGGGTCAGTCTTGATTCTCGATGCTAGTTTTTCATACTGTCGTGGGCCCCCCCCCTTTCCTGTGCATACTCATTCCGGCTCTGCGATGATCTCCCTTTTTGTGTGTTCTCGCCTTCTTTTTTTTTTCCATTTCTTTGCACTTTTTTTTTGCCTCCTTACCCGTTTGGGGAAACCCGGGGGTCGTTTTGGTCTTCCTGTGTTACTGTTGCCCCTTTTGGAAAAAACCTTTCCCCTGCCTCCTTTCATTTTGTTGTTACATATTCCCCATTTCTTTTCTGGCTTTCCTGCCGTTCTCGCCCACGGACCCCCCCAAAGTTCTTCAACCCTATGTAGTCCCCTCTTTTATAGTCAGGGGTTTTTCCCCTTCAACTCCGTTTTTTCTCTCCACTTGCAGCTCTACTG